CATGGCTCTCTCCAGACTTTGCTCCCTACCCCTTTCATCTCTTTTTTGCTTTGTAGCCTTTCATAAAAACCTATTACTTCTGAAAATATAATTCAGGATTACTATCTTTGTATACATAATGCAGCATTACCATTTTCCTCTCTGATATAAATTTGTACTGAATATGCATTGTGAAATTACAGTTTTCTGAGTTGAAATCTGAAGTAAAAAGTAAGAGCACCTAAGTCAAGCTTGCAAAGTCGGAATCTACTTTTGGCTGAGGACAGAGAAGAAGACAGATCAATACATGAAAACGTATCTATAATGTGAGAAGGGGAGCTGCTAAGCCAGGGCATTTAGGGAGACATCTAATAAATGCAGAAGTAATCCTGTGCTAGTGAGATGAAAAAGTCGAGCTTGGCTGTAGAGGAACTTGAGTACACAGCCACAGCAAATGCTTACACACACAAGATGCATTTAGATTAAAATTCTCATACAGAGAAAATTCTGCTTTCATAGACCTGGAACAACTGGTACTTTTCTCCCTTTCTTGGCAGGTCAGTTCTACGATAGCTAGTTCTTCCCTAGGCTTTAAAGTGAGAGGCCTCTTTGGCAGTGACATTCTCTAATAAAGGCAGTTAAGATGTTTCAGGAGCTGAATGAAATTTTGTTTCCTTTTTGTATTGGTCTATCAAGTAATTTTGATGTTCCTATTTAGTTCCAATCTAACAGCTTTAGAAAAGGGTATGTGTGGTTCTAACTCAAATTGACACAATCAGTTGCTTATGACTGATTATCTTAGAACTTCAATGGGGCAGAGAGCTCATGGTCAGGGATTCTTGCTGCAAAATTTTCAGGATCCAGCACCACTGCAGGACAGGACACTTCTAGCATAGTTTTATTTAATAATTCTCACATATCTGAGTGTATGGATATCACTTCAATCTTATAAAAATTCAGGTTTCAGAATCCCACTTTCTAGATATTCTAATTCAGACAGTCCAGGATGATTGCTGGGGATATACTATTCTAATAGGTCAGAAAACAAAATTCAAAATGTATCTTGTACCACGAAGATTTTATGATTTTATAATATTTCATATGATATTTCATGGATTTCATATAATATAAAATATAGTATTTTATAATATTAAGATTTTCTTACTCAAGGACATATGACAACTTTAGTCATGACTTATGAATTCTCTTCTCTGACTTTGGAAATCTTTTCTACACCAAACTGCTATGAACTTTTTGGGGATAAATGCCTACTGAGAGAAAAATAGTTTCAGTTTAAAATAATTTGAGTATAAGGTTAATTGTCAAGTAGCAGGGGGAAAAGGAAGCAGCATATAGTAGAGTAAAAAGAATTTGGTTTTGGTATCAGACCAAAATGGGTTCAAATACTACAGATCCTCCCAATTGTGACAAAGATATTTAACTTCTGATCCTAAGCTCCTTAACAGAGTTGTCAAAAGTTAAAGGAATGATATGTATTTCATATGATTTATATGTGTATTTATAGTACCTGTCATACAGTAGCTGTGTTGCAAATATTATTTCTTTTCCACACTATAAACAGTTTGATGCTCTAACAGAAATCTGAGAACCATGACTAAGTAAAATGCTCGGTAATTCTCCATTTTACTTTCAGTCTCTGTTATGGCTTAAGTGTTCCACCAAAGCCTCACTCAATCATGGAGACAGCTGAATCTAGAACTTGTGATTGGTTTGTTGTGTAGCACTGGGACTGGTGGCATGAGCGCTGCACCTGCCCAAGGGCGGGTAATCAGCATACAATATAAGGGAGGGAAGAAGGTGTGTTTTGCCCCTTTTCAACCTGTTGCTTGCGGCCACCCTGAATGGCTGCCTGTTAACCGCGCTACTCTACCTTGGAGCCACCTGAGTTATGGACTCCAAAAACTGTAAGCTAAATAAATCATACCTTCTCTAGTTTTGAGGTTTGGATATTTTGTCCAGCAATGAGACAAAAGTAACCAAGAGAGTCTCTCATGCCTCTGTCTCATTTTTAATGAGGTTGAGAGTAGCTACTAAAAGATCTCTCAGTATTACCAATCTTCGAAATGTTGTGGACCATTGGAAAGATGATACATTTGTAAAGAAAAGACAGTTTAAGCCCTGAAAAGAAAATACAGATTTCAGAGATGGTAAGTGTGATGCTTCATCTACTACAATTCTGGGCAGATGGCTTAAAAAAAAAAAACTTAAAGATATTTTCACTATATGCATCCCTAAGAATAAATGGCCAAAAGTCAGTAATATATATACTTACATGTATGGAATATATATTCAAGTGTTTTTAGTCAGAAAAGCCTAAGTTAGAGTATATTTAATTTCTGCCATTTCTAACATTTATTGGGCTCATCTGTATGCCAAGCTCCTGTGATAGGTGATTTATATTCTTTCTTTCACACACTCCTACAAAACAGGTACAATTATTTAAAAAGCAAGGATGAGAGAGGCTCGGTAACATGCCCAGTATTATGCAGGTGACAAGAAACGAAAAAATTAAAACTCAAAACTATTTGACTCTGGAGTTCAGGCTGAACCACTATGTTTAATTCCCTTGGACAAACACCTCAAGAAATAGCTGAAAATAAGAAGAAAAAAATGAAAACTAGATTTTAACACACTGAGTCGATTTAGAGGTAAATATATGGCCATACTTGACAATGTGCTAATTAAGTAAAGCAAAATTAAATTAGAAGAAAACTTCTTAGTGGAGTTTTTCTCTGTCACTCTATTTCTATCATTGCTGACTTGAAAAAACCAGGACAGCTTTTCAAACCTGTACCATTCAGAAAGATCAAGTAAAACCAGAAGAAAAGTTAAATAAATAAGGGATGACTAAAACAATTATGTTCAACAAACTGATTTTATAAATTCAAAATCAATTAAGGTCTTGCTGAAGAATAGTTTATATATGGCAGATTTGGGGGAAAAAAAAAAGTAGAATGACCCTGACTTCGAAACAGTTAAGTACATCCGAGGCTGCCCTACGAACTACCTTTTTCCCTGTCCACTATGGCATGAAAGTCCACTGTCTAATACGGCAGCTACTTGTTCTTGAATGCAACTGGAGAATACCGTCTCCAAGACCAACATCACTCAAACATCTAACTTTGTGTCTTAAATAGTGACCTTAGTAATGTGGCAATCCAAATTGCTACATATCACATGTAATAAAGGAGCCCCCACTTTGCTGTGTACATAAGAGACATTAACATATCAAAAGCCTGTCCTTATGGGGATTTGAAAATGCCGAAGGCCAGGCATGTTGCTGTAGCAGAGGGCAAACAATGATGAGACACTCGTAAACTACGCACATGGAGAAGCAGCTTCCCATCTCTATAATACTGTTTTATTTTCTTCATGGTACTTATCATAATCTGAAATAACACTATCATCTTTTTTGCTTGATGTCTTAATCTGAAACACTTTTCATACTTGGTTGGGAGGGTAAGTGCTAGAGATTGAACCCAGAGAGTATGGTTAAAAACAAAAGTGGTAAGGTGAGGTGTATTACAAAAGAAAGGTTTTCTGCTGTAAAAATAACAAGTTTAATCTCAACAAAAGGCTTTCAAAGTTATTTTATGAACATAAAGAAGACTGAATGACTCATTTTGGTGTGTACCATAAGAAATTATAGCTCACCAATACTCCAAAACACTACACTATGAACATATTCTTTTAAAGGTCAACCTAAGATAATGTATAGCAAAGGTTCAACAGAGCAGGCTAATCTACCTATCCTTAGAACAGCCAAGTAGAAGGCTGTCCCTTAGCTATGACCGAGAACACAGCCATTAATGATTCCCTACACTGATATAAAACTTCCTCTAAAAGAAGAGGGTGACTCACTATGCCTTACTAATTTATGCAAAACACAGATTATGTTAAACATTTGATTTCCTTATACCTTAATTTTGGTAGGTCCTAGGAAGAGGAGGGCTATGTGACCAATCCCCAATAAAAACGTTAGATGCCAAGTCTCCACTGAGCTTCCCTAGAATACAAAACTTTGCACATGTTGTCACAACTTGTTGCTGGAAGAATTAAGTGGGTACCATGGAACTTCCTGGGAGAGGCCTAAACTATTTCCACCTAATTCCCTTTGCTAATTTGGCTTTACATCTTTTCTTACTGCTATAAATCTCGGCCATGACTGAGCTAATATTATGAGTCCTTCGAACATCGGATTAGTTTTTGGGAACTTAAAATAAAGTCAGAGTTTGGGACTGTTACATTACCTAAGCAATTTATCTAGGTTTATATATTAAATATATATTTACCACATTTGTAGATGGCATAAAATTAATGAATGTATTACAAGACAGAGCAAAGTTTCAAAAAGACTAGAATGACTGAGTCAACTCTCTCAAACAAGGACAAGTTTAGGGAGAAAGGTAAGACTGCGTTAGTCAGCTTTCCATTACTATAATACCTGAGATAATCAACTTATAAAGAGCACATTTTTATTGTGGCTTTAAGTTTGGGAGGCTTCAGTCCATGGCTAGTTGCTTTTGGTACTAAGCAAAAACAGGACCTTGTGATAGGAGAACATGGCGGAGGAAGCCACTCACCTTATAGCAGCAAGGAGGTAGGCAGCTAGGGCCCACCATCCCTTTTGAGAGCATATGACTTAAGACCTCCCACTGGACCCTACCTCTTAAAGCTTCTACCACTTCCCAGTGGCACTACCATACTGGAAGAACAAGCTTTTTGACATGGTCCTTTGTGAGACACTACTGATCCAAATTGTACTATGTGTAAAACTGGTTTTGATTTCTAAGATGGGGTCTCACTGTTTATTTCAGGTTGGCCTTGAATTCACTATGTAGCCCAGGGTAGTCTCAAATTCATAGCCATTCTCCTGCCTCAGTCTCCCAAGGGCGAGGATCACAGACATCCACCATCATACCTGGATAAAATGGTTTTAAAAAATACAATATGTGTAACTTATTACACATATAGGAAGAAGAAACACATAACTGAGCAAGTAGGGAAAAGATATATAAATTTGCATTTTATTATCTTAACAACAAAATATAATTAGCACAATAATTAATTTCTTCTGGTCTGAATAAACAACAGTACAGTGTACAAACAAGAGAAAACGATACTCTCACTTTTACTTGTTACTGGTCGTATTACACTTAAAGCATTATATTCAGCTTTGAGTGTGATTTATAGAAGGGTATATTATAGCTTTCTCAAGGAAAAGCTGACGAAGAGCTTCAAACTCACATTTTATGAGAATGGTTCAAGACTAGGAGAAGATTAATAAAAATAAAGGCTCTACTAAGGTATACAAACAGTTCTTAGGTAAAAAAGAAATTTTAATTTTTTTCCATATAATCACAGTTGGAAGAAGTTAGAAGACGTTAAAAATTTCAGCTAAATATAAAGAAGTATTTCCTAAAAGCCAGATACATCAAAAGGAATTTACTTTCCTCACACATGCATCGCAGAATACAGTTCCACTGAATGTATATAATCAAAGGAAGAATTCAATTAAAGTGGATAGGTATAGTAAATGGTAGCTATAATAAATAATCAGACAAGATCAGGCATGTTCAGGGTGGTCTGGCCATATAGTATTAAGTAATCTTTCAACTCTGCGAAAATATTCTTTTGTGTATCTTGTCACGCCGAGGATTTAGCTCAGTGGCGTATACGCCTGCCCAGTAAGTGAAAGGTCGCGAGTTTGATCCTCAGTACCAAAAAAAAGAAAAAAAAGGTTGATCTGTATTATGGCCATTTATGCACTAACAAAAAGACAAAGAAAAAAGATTTTTCAATCCAACCACACCCTCACTGAGCTGGAGGGAAAGGGATGGCTGGGAAGAGACTCAAGAAACATGATTAATCCTAACAATTAAATTCACTCAGATAAAAAAATAGGTTACTATATACAAAGCGCTTTGCACACAGCTCAACAAATAATGGAGTAATCACCACACACAAAGCATACTGAGTTAAAACTAGAGAGATAAAAAGATACACTGAGAAGAAAAAGACCTGTGTGCCTGCCTGCCTCAGGTATGACTTCTATAAAGTGGCAAAGCCACTCCCCTGTCTACCACGCTCCAGTCATGACTCTCAGAACTACACCCATGGTTCTGAAGGTTAGGGGAATATTAAGTGCTAAATCCAGGCCTGGAGTCCTCAGTCAACAGCTAGATTCTTCATATCACAAGCTTGTCAAGGATATAGGCCTCCATGTATTTTCCTCCCTTAGGAAAAGACCCTACTTTATCTGAAGAAGCCAGGATGAATGTCACTGTTAGAAGAGATGCAAAAGAATATGAAAAAAAAAAAAATCTAAGCTTTTCTCAAAGTGTAGCACACACAAGGTACCATGAAATACACAAGGCCGAAGCCAGCACTAATAATGGAGAACAGCACTGACAGAACTCATCATTTTCAAAATAATACATAGCCTTGACAAAAAAAGTGGCACAGAGTAAATGGTAAATTCATAAAAATGGGAAGACGATCTAAGCTAAGAGAATCTTGAAATAAATAATTTGAAACAATTTTTTTAAAAGAGGTTCCACAGATCCATCTTATTTAATATATCTCCAATTTTATTTTTAATTGTAGTGCAGAGAAGAAAAATACCATGTAGAACCAAAAATAAACTGAAACTCTAATTCCCTTAATTTATTGATTAATGTAGAATTGCTGTTGGCAAGTCTGTTGTAAAACACTGTCATCTGATACACTATTGGCATGAAGATAAACTGACTTGCTCTTTTGGAAAACAATTTGGCAAAACATATGAATAATTTTTTATCTTCATAGAGTGTAGCTCAGTATTTTCCAAAAAACTGTAAGAAAATACTATTAAATATGGATAGAGTTTTATAAAGATTTTTTTAAAACAGCATGGAATAATATGAGAAAAATACAAACGAACACATTTTTTAAAAAACCCTACTTTCAGGAAAGTTCTCCCTCCCCCAACAGGGGGAAACAGAAAAAGAACAAAGCAAAGTCAACAACCATTATCACAACTAGTTACATGTGGGTAAATGAACTATGCATGACTTATTGCTTTATCTTTTAAATAGTCTTCCTAATGTCCTTCAAGAAATATTTCTTTAAAACTTAAAGACAACAAAAAAGAATCACATTTGAAGAAGAAAAAGAATGTTAGTTATATGAAAAAGACAGGAATTAGAAGAGGCATAATTTAAAAATGAATGTAGAGGATTAGCTACAATTAATTCTGTTAAGAGTAGTCAGAAATAAAAGGTGCTAAATAGTAAAAGGGAAGCTGGTGGGACATTATCTTTCCACTCAAGTGATCTCTGCAAGAAATCCCTCTGCTCTTCTCCTAAGAGCCTACGGTGATGGTTCTGAAATGGGCAGGAGATTCTAATGAGCCCTTGAAATCTGTTTTAAAAATCAAACTAATAAAAATGTCACCATTTACTATCTTTCACTGCACCGCTTTACTTGATATTATGCTATTCATTTTTTAGAAAAAACACGATCAACAAATTATTAAAATATTCACTGGGAGTATGTGGGTTCAAATGATGGTTCTGTTACTTCAGTGCTTTCAAACAGTGCTTAGTGCATAAAAACACTTAAAAGAATTGGTTTTTATTCAGAAGGAATACTGTTTACTTTTATTCTAATGAAATATTGAAGTGTATGATTAAGATAAACGTCAAGATCATGTATTCATTTTCTCTTACTAAACTTGAGGCAAAAACTCTCTGATAGATTTACCAAGTCAATAACTTATATATAATGCACTGAACACTTGGAGTTAAGTGAGTGATCAAGGTTTTTTAAACTGTTCAATTTGGGATGGATGTGGTGGCACACTGCCAGCACTAGGGAGGCCAAGGCAGGAGGATCACTGCAAGTCTGAGGCCAGCTTGAGCTACAACATGAGTTCAAGGCCAAACTGAACTGCATAGTGAAAGCCTGTATCAAAATGAAAAAAACAAAACAAAACTTCTTAGTCTGGGAGAAAAATCAATTGTGATTCATTTAAAACTGCTCTATATTCTCACAAATTAGTTGCCAACATCAAAACATAAAATTTCTACGGCTGTAATAAATCTTAGCTTCGTGTATGACTACATCCACTCACATTCTAACTTACAAATTACCAAGAAATTACTGATAATGTCATATAAATTAATGTCAAACTATAAAATCTCCTAGTCATATACACTTTAGAGCTACATACGTATTTGACACACTACTACTACATCTTCAGTTCTTACAGTTTTCTGTTTTACTGCTTCTTGGATTACTACAGCAAAGGATTTTTGCTTTACAGATCAATCAGCTCATTACTGATAGGAAGTTTAACAAATTCTAATGTTTGATGATTACATCCAAAGTTATTAATGATTTTGTATTTAAAAGTAAAATGAAACATATTAGTTGAATAAAGATAATAAGTTTTACATGCAAAGAACTGTATCCAAATTTTAAAAAAAACTAGGTAGATCAACTATATAAAGGTAAAAATTACTTTAAAAGAGTAGATCTGCACTTCATTGACAGCGTTCAGTGGACAAACTGCAGGAGTCATGGTTTTTATCTGCATGTCAAAAATCTTCCTTATGCCTTGATAAATCGGGCTGAAATCAATCACTACTCCTTCTTTAAAAAATTCTTTAGCAACTACAAAAGCACAACATTCTATTTTTCTTTATTCTGTCTCCATTTTCCTCATGAATATCCTGCATTATGATTCTGAGACCTCATGAGTAATTCCACTCAAGAATGGTACTTCAAAATCTAATATCTACCTATCAGTCCATCCATCCACCCACCTACCCATCCATCCATCTATCCATCCATCTATTTATCTGGTATCTGTTTGCAATGTATAATAATTCCAGGCATTAGGAAAATTTCTGGTATACAGGTAAAGACCTAGATAATGATTCCTCCTCTGTAATTTTAGTAATTTGCTGCTAATATATTTTCATTAAAAATTTACAACTTTAAGTGGCATGAAAAGTAATTAAATACCAACAATGATTACAATTGAGAATGCAATCCAGGTTTGTAATTTGAGTACAAGTGAAGCCTTAAAACAAACACTCACGTACATGCACAAAAATGTATTTGCCCTATGTGACCCCTTACTTCCAAAACTATAAAAAATAAATCAAATTAAAATCCTCTAATAAATGTTAATGGTTTGTCCAAATATAATTATTAAATCTCATTTATAAACAGAGAAAGCAGGGCTAGATGTGAAGCTGATGATTAAAATAACAGAAGCTACCACAAGACCATTTAGTAATATCACATTTTAAATATGAATTTCCAAAATTTACCTCTCCTGATTCATTTCCAAATAAATATATCTAAAAATTCAGTACAGTTTTAAGATTGTAGACATTTCCTAAGTGTTTTGTTTTGTTTTGTTTTCATAAAAACTGTCTTAGGACATAAGGAGTGAGATAAAATTAATTTGAAGGATATTTAGTTTTTCTTCAAAATATATTCCAAAAAAACAAAAAGATGAATGCATATCTTTTTACGCTTTTGATTACTACATACCTTAAATTTTAAAATAATTAATGGCAAGAACATTTTTTTAAAAATCCATGATACAGGGGCCCAGGATTTAGCTCAGTGGCAAAAGCATCTGCCTCGCAAGAGCAAGGTCCTGAGTTCGATCCTTGATAAAAAAAAAATCCATCATACAAGTATACTGAAGTTATTATATTATATTAAAAAATTATACCCTATTTTGAAATTGGCTACTTTACCAATTCTATGTAGAATTTTGGTTTATTTTGGTTTGGGTTTTTTTGTTTTTTTGTTTTTTTGGTTTTTTTTTGAGACAAGATCTCACTATATAGGACAGGCTGGCCTTGAATTCACTATGTAGCTTAAGCTGGCCTCAAACTTACAGCAATCCTCCTGCCTCAGTCTCCCAAGTGCTGGCATTATAGGCATGCACCACCATGTCTGGCTCTAAAGGAGAATTTTGAATCATTTTCCTTTGCCAAAATAAAAATTCAAAAGCCAAATATAATTTAGGTTGTTATATTAAAAGTGGGCTTTTTCTACCTTTTCCTTACCAAATTGTCTTTTAATCCTCTTCAAATTTATAACTTAAAATATCAATTTAACATACTTAATTATAAAATTCATGAAAGGGTAAATGGAAAAAACGTGACAATGCTAGCAGCACAAAATGCATGATATAGTATAGCACCTATTTTAAATTTCAAACTCTACTTGGAACATAAAAAAACTGTTTAAGTTGTCATTTACATAGTATACATCTGCATATGCATATATATATATATATATATATATATATATATATACTTATGTCAAGAGATAATCTCAAGTCTAATGCACTGTTTATCTCTCGCTATCTCTGTTTGGTTCAAAAATACAACCTAAATTTTAGAGAAAAAACTAAAGTCTGGACTATTTTTGTGCTTCTCAATTAAGGTAATTCTACTGACCTGAATTTACAGTTTGTTTTGGCATTTTTAAACTTTCGCAACCTTATTTACACTTATGCAGAAAACAACTAGAATCAAAATTTCTAAAATCAAAGACGAGTTTAGAAATTATGGAATTTTCCTATATTTAAGAACATCTGGGTTCAATACATCTGAAATTGAGAAGTGGTATTTTAGAAAACATTAATGACCAATGAATTAACCCTATTTAAATTGGAATTAGTGATCTTTAAATTGTGATGGTAATAACCATGGCACCCACAAAGATAAAAAGCAGCTACCATATTCTGAACAACTTTCTGGTATGCAACAAGCTCGGTTAAGCACACAAGCTACAAAATCTCATTTAGTCTTCAAATCTATCTGAACAGGGAGGAACAAGTGTCTGACTCTATTTATCAATAAGAAAACTGATGATTTGGAACATTTGGTATCTTACCTAAGGCCAAGATGCTTATGAGGGCCAGGATTTCAAACCAAATTTCACATGCTAGTAGGTAATAAAGCCTTTAAAATACTGCATAACTTTAGAAACAACTGTAGAAATCAGAATCCTTAAGTGATAGAACACAGCATCATTTTTTACTATCATGTATAACCAAACTAGACAGCTACTACAGAGTACAATAGAATGACAGCAAAAAGTTACCCAGTCGTCAAACATACTAATCTAAACAATACAGTACTTTCAAAATAAGTATTACTTTATTATGCAAACATAGTAAAATGTCAAAAGAAAGCAGCTGCCTGCCCAAGAGTTGCATATAAAACCACTGCAATAAGCAAAGAACCTAAATCAGAAGTTGCCTGGCTCAGTCTCCTCTCAGTGCAATAAAGCCTTTCTTTTCCATTCTTTGCTTTCAAAAGACTTTTTCAAAAAGAAATTCAAAGAGATTTGAAAAAGTTATTCAAGGAAAACTTAACAAAATTGAAAAAAATAATATCAGGGAGATACCATGCCCTAGAGTTTCAGTTTGATTAAAGACTGAACTGGTAGGTTTGAGCTTTTCAGATTGCTATTTTAATAAAAGAAACCCACAAGATCAAAGAAAAAGATATCACAAGCAAAGAATTGTAGTTTTTTGTTATAAAAAAAATTAAAATTCAGAGAAATTCTGTAAGGAAGAAAGTACAGACAGAAGTAAAAAGGTCTGAAGGCCTTTGGAAAGAAAGCAGTGTAGCATAATGGTAAGTGCACAGGGTCGGCTCCAGGCCAACACACTGTGCAGGAACCTGTCACTGATTGGCTGAGTGACTTTGGGTACATCACTTCTCTTTCATTTCCTCATTTCTGGACTGTGCATAACCATACTACCATCTGTAGTGAGGACTAAGTGTTGTATTACATGTAAAATGTAACACTTAAGCCTGGCACACAACTGATAATGAATTTCTTATTCATTACCATTAGGAAAACCAAGAAGAAAACATAATAGTATGGCTTTAAGCTTCCTAAGCATCTTCAGAGTCTCTTCAAACTATAAACTCTAGAGTAAAGGAATAAAAAATTATTATTATTATTATTATTATTATTAATTATTATTTTGTCCTGGGAATCAAACTCAGGACCTTGTGCTTGCCAAGAAGCTGCATGTGCCATCCCCAGCCGCTTCTGGGCTATATCCCCAGCTCCAGGAATCAAAATTTATTCTCAAATAATGTATTCAATGTTGAAGGTTTTGTTTACGATATCTGAAAAATTGGCAAAGCCATGTTGCCTTGAACTTCAAATTTTCCTTGAACTGGTTTGAATTTAAAAGGGACACTTCCACTCATTCAAGGGTCCACTGGCAAACAGGAAACAAGAATAAAAATAAACCCTTATGAGAGAAATGTGAAACAATTTGGTTTTGCATCACAAATGAGTAAACTCTGGATCCTTACATTTATTAAACTGAAACAAAGTCTAATTTTGATATATAGAATACTCTTTTATTATTTATTTTAAACTTTTTCTTATGCTTAAAAAATACACAGGGGTTCAGAACAACCTCAATAAAATGACAACATTCTTACTAAATAATCTGTGAAGTCAAACCACCAGAGTGCAAACATGGTTGGCTTTTAAATTAAAGACTCATAGGCACATTTCATTAAATGCATTTCATCAAACATGGAAATTATAATGCTGAGAAGAGAAATACTCAGTAGTGCTATGTAAAATTTCCAACTTATGATAAAAGGTAAGGTATAGATGCTCTACTGCTTACACCTGCTTCATTATTAATTTCTTTAATGCCACTTTGCTACATCTAAACCCCTGACTCTATTACATAATCTCAGCACACTAAAAAATAAATTAACCTCTACATCTGAAAACAGATCATTATAAAATACAATACTGATAAGTCTTAGCTGTATTTGATTATTTAATTAAGTATATTATATAATCTCAGCAGCACTAAAAATCACCTTCATCTAATATAAATATCTAAATATTTAACAACTACACAAAAGTATTTTCCTTTTAAAATAGGTTCCTATGTATACTTTTCCCAATGCTGACAACTTTAACATTTGACTTCTATATTGTGCTAAGAAAACATTAAGCACAGATCACATAATATAATTTACATTTCTTTGTTTTAAAAAATATAGTATGTGCAAATGAATATTACACAAATGACTACTGGATACAACAGTAAGCAATTATAGACCTAACGCAAAAAGTTTTTTAACTTTTAACCTAACACAAAAAAAAGCTTTTTAAAAAGGACATTCCAACTAACATCAAGAGTGATACACCTCTACTGAGTATCCTGCATCGGAATTAGGATTACTTGTGAGGTTTCTTTAAAAAAACAAAGCTCTACTCCAGCAAAAAATGACACCACAGTAGGCACATGAACTAATTTCAAAGAAACAAGATAAAACTGTTCCAGAAACCTATTAAAAATATTTGACCCAGTCTCCCCAATAAGTGACTACATTGCTTAATTGGAAGGAATAAATTATTTAACATTATGATTGCTTTTATACACTAGTTTCTTTCATTAGCTAAGACACTTTGGAAGTAAGGTACAATAGGATTTAGATGGAAAAAAAAAAAAGGAATGAAGAAAAAAATAGGCTATTAGAAAAATGGGAGGAAAGTAAAGTCACTTTACCCAGAAGAAAAAAAACAGGGGTTGTTCATTTGCAACAGAAAATTTGGGCTGCAGAGAAAATTATAAAAAAAAATTTTTTAAAAAAGGTGTGTGACAGATCACAAAATGTAATGCTTACTCTGTGTGTCCATAAAGAAATCACTTAAGGTTTATAGATTAGTGTATTTAAAAGTATACTTGGATACAAATGGTTATATCTCGCCACATATTTAATATGTAGCAATCTTCTGTAAAGGACAATTTATACATATAATTTCCAGAAACACAAAGCAACATGAAAAGAAACAAAATCACAGACAAAGACAGAAAAAGAGAGGTGCCAAGGATTTTCTTATGTCCTATAGGAGACTTTCAGAGACATACTTTTTTCATCCTCAGTACTTAACTTTTCTTATTACTGCACATTTATATATTCATACACTGATTTTCTCATAGTATTACCCAATTCACATCTTTTACTATAGTTTTCTCCACAAAAAAAGGTAAAAGAGAGAGAAAGAGTAGGAGAGAGAATAGAATAAAATAAAATAGAGAGAGAGATCTTCAGTGTCATCCTTCATTTTGCAGTGAACTATTCAAATAAATATTTCTCTGGTGGCAACCTTCCAGATGAATCAAGAATATAATCTAAACCCACTGTCAGATTACATTTGATTTACTGTCTGAGTCTCCTCAAATGGAGCAGGAATTCGCCCGTTTCCTAGGTTTGGGATCTCGTGCTTCCTGATCTTTAATACATATACAAGATGTGCACATTGTCTCAGAAAGTCTTCGGAGGCCTAGCCGGAAAACACTGTTGGAGAGGCTGTATATCACACAGTTACAAAAGCTATTACTTATAGCCAGCCAGGTTGTTAAGAAGGACAGTGTTGGATTGTCCAAAACTCGGAAGCTTTCTAGAAGAAAGTATATAATATAGGGGAGCCACAGCATATAAAATACACTGGTTATTCTAAATAAAACCATGGCATAGCGTCGGTCAGGGCTGTGTCCTGTCTCTCTAGAAGCATCTACTTCATGGCTAGGGAATCGGGCCCTTCGGTCATTTATCTCTTTGGTGTGCTGCCGGCAAATTCTGAAAATGTGAAAGTAAGTGAAGCAGACAACAAAGGCAGCAGGAGCATAAAGTAAACAAACAATAAAGCCAGTAAAATAGGCACTCGTGAGCCAAGAGGTGGCACACCATTCAAAAATGTCACCATGGTAACCAGGTTTCCCCCAGCCGAAAAAGGAAGGCAAAAAAATTAGACAGGAATAGATCCAGATCAAAATAATGCAAATTCTCAGGCGACAAGGGGTGACCAGTTGATTGTAGGAAAGAGGCTTGGTGATTGCAAGATAGCGATCCACACTGATGCAAGCGAGACATGCCATAGAAACACTTTTTAGAACTGAGATGATATATCCAAAAACCTGGCAAGTCAATGACTCGTGGACACCTGTAGAGTAGTGAAGAAGTGAGAGAGTAGGAACCAAGCAGCTAACTCCAACGAAGAGATCAGCATACGCCATCGTCTGTATAAAATAGCTGGTAGTATAATGATGCAACAGTGGAGCACAATGAAAGACAAAGATGACCGTTAAATTCCCAGCAATGATTAGAAATGTCAGCAGGACAATAACAACTGTCTCCAAGATGCAGACATCCACTGCACTGTAGTGACCAAATCCAAGTGGGCAAGCGTGACGCTCAGACACATTCACAATGTCACTGCTCATGTTCAGGATGTTCCATTCAGTCCACCTGGTTTCATTCATGGCTTGGAATTAGAGGAACTTGCAGTCTTGGCTCCAGCAAGCAGGTGCCCTTTGCAGCATCTGTTACACTCTGCACACAAGTGCCTCAGAATCTGCTTCGGCAGACAGTGTCAGTGCTTCTGTTACAGCTGAGCATCCCAGAGTGCTCAGGTCTCTTCATCAGCCTTACTTCACCACTGACACATCTCAGCTTTGGGGAATAAGAGAGGAGGGCAAGCTAGAAAGGTGAAAAGAGGTCTCTGATTAGCTTCCTCAGGTGCTCTCAAGTAACTTTTTGCAGACACGAGGCACTTCTAAAGAAAATACTGTAGATTTATTACCTTGTGCTATGAAAAATTAAATCTGTAAAAAGAAAAAAAGAGCCAAGAAAAGGAAAGCTTCTGTGTGTAGGCTGTTTTTCTCTCCTAAGAGAGATAGTTTCTTAGGAATCAAATAGAAACGGAGAGAAAAGACAGTCTTAAATTGTCTCAGACTTCCTGCTTCATCTATGATGAGAAATGCATTCATATTTTAGAATTTAAATAATTAAGACCTCAGTTTGGTTTGAAAGCTAAGAGTTCACTGTGGCAGAGTGTCCTTGGGCTCAGTTCAGGTTTGATGCTGATAGGGCAACTTTGTGATTCATTCCTTTCTCATTTTTTTTAAAGGTAAGAAAAACTATATTGTGGTTAATTCTAAGACTTATCTTTATATGGGCACAAAGGAGTAACAGACTCCAGATTGCCCTATAACTCTCCTGAGAAAAAAAAGGTGTACTTCTAATGGGGAAGGTAACATACAGTGAGTTAATGGTCTAACACTTGAAACAATACTATAAACTCCTGAAGTTTTCAATCTGCAGACATTTTTAAAGCATTTTTGAGGAAAATGGGTTTAGTTTGGGGCGTTACTAACAGCAATGTAATTTATACCTCTTCAAAATGAAATCTTTTTTGCCATTAACTTCAACAGCTACAACTGAAAATAACTTTCATTATTTGATATGCTACTTTCCTTACAATGAGCAATACAGTAAATTTTTTGCTTAAAGTTAATTTTCTTTTTCACCCACTCATATCCCACATATATGCAAATAGAGATGAAATTTAGACAACAGAAACTTTCTTATTTGACTACAAATACTACCATTACTTATTTCTAATAGGTTTCACATACTATTATATCTTTCTATTTCCATTAGATCATTAGCATACTAAATCATTACTTCAACTAAGTCTTCTGAGAGTGGAAATTTACCTTATTTATTCTATTTGGAATTATGTAGCCACATGTTAAGAAAATGCCTCTTCTATTTCTGTATTCTATTTTGACCAAGTGCTCAATTAATACCAGGGCCATTAGGTAGGTTCTGAGATAGACTTGCTTTAAAATACCTCAAAACATCAAGATGAGTTTAAATCCTCGACTTTGAAATACTGAAAGGCTGGCAGGATAAAATCCATCCAAAAGGCTTCCAAGGTCATTCTTGTATCAGGTTAACATTTGCCAAAGTCTTTTCCCCCCTCTTAAAGTACAGGCATTTCAAAGAATCTCTTGTCAGTCCTGGTTGTCATAGCTTTTGAAGAAAGAGCATATAATAGAAATAAAAACATTTCCTTCAGGAACAATGCAGCAGCTTAATAGAAAGCATTCTTCAGAAAGTTATTTTCTGGTGCACCACCACATCATTCAGGGAAATCCTTCTGTGATAGCCACGGGATATTCTTCCTTTTACCGTCTTAGTTTCATTTATCACAAAATAGTTCTCTTGTTACAGGAATAAGGTAATGCTTCTCACCTACATTCACTTTTATCAGCTGCTAGGCTAAGCTGCTTGATTCAGAAGTCCGATTTACTGTGATGCAGTTACCAGGATGCTGTCGGTAGATTCTCTCAGTATCACTGCCTGCCTCCACCTGAGCCCAAGCTCTGCTCCTCCTCCTCATCCTGAGCTGATGCAGAACTCACCATCAGAAAGGTGACTCGGTCCTCCTGCCCCAATCAACAACACAGCCAATGGCTACTGCAGCTGAAACTGTCACTAGGTAACAGTTGCCAGGCACATGCAGGCTTATAGACTTCTCAGCAAGCTCCGAAAAAGACTGACATAAGGAGACAATGGAACTGACCGATCCTTACATTATGCTAGCATCATTTAGGAACTTGTAAAGGAATTTTCCCTATATTTTGTGCATACTGTATCATGTAAACATTACAGAAAAAAAAACCTGGAATACACCTTTAAACTGTGGAAAAACTACCACAAGGTACTGTGACACTAAAAAGTCAGCAGTAACCTAATGCTCATTGGCAGAAAAAACTTATTAATTATTAAAAATCAGACAAGTCTTCATGAACTGAAGAGTTATGACTACTATTTTTTCTAAATAATATATAGTTATATTTTGATTAGAAGTTAAAAGCCATTTACTCATCTACTAAATCCCGGCCACACCCACACAATATTGATTAGTTTAAGATATTTAACTGTACAAAGCAAGCACTGGACCTGATAATAGCTTGATAAAATCTATTCAGAGCAATATTTAAGGTCAAATATGATCTGAGATAAATTAGAATAAATAGAAACACTGTTTAGCCCACTTTTTATCCTAATATGTGGAAAGGGTCAAAGGATAAAAATACTGTTATATAATGCTTGAGTTATACATATCCAAGTCACAAGACACAAATCAGATATTTGCTAAAATATGTGATGAACATTAAAAACATTCATTTTTATTTACTACATTCATTTTTTATTTACTACTTTCATAGTCATTTACCTATTCTAAACATATATCTCATGATGTCAGTACTTTTCTTAAAAACTGACTCAAACTAATTTAAAATTTATTTCAGAATTAAGATAAATCAGGAAAATTAAGGCAATGATGGAAGCCGACCAATATTTTTTCAGAGCACATTCTATGTATCAAACATGATATTATGTGCATTTATATATCTTCTCTATAAAAATGTTAAATCTTTATGAAGAGAGTACCATAACTGTCAAGAAAGTAGACACTAGGCAAGGTCAGTATGGATCACCTACAATTACAGAGCTGTGCAACTGGTCAAAACTGTCATTCTTAACACCATTTTGATAAACACCATCTCTTCTTTCCTACTGATAGCTGCCAGTTAGGAATGTCTTAGATTATTTCAAATTTCATAAAAATGTCTGAAGAACAGAAAGCCCCCTTCCTTCCTCATATGTAACTGCCTTTCATGAAGACAATGTGTTATTGCTAAAATCTTTGAAGGTTTAGGTTAAAATATAGAATTATAAGCACATTTCTCAATACCAGAAATTATTTATAAGATCAGATAAAATAAAAAATTCTATAATGAATACTTTATTCAAGTTTGAAAATAGATATTTAAAGTTAATACAACGAATTAGCCTTACTTTACAGGGAAGCATTTTGACTTTAAGAGATACCTAAAAGCATGAGCTTTACTACAAAATAGTTCTACAGTAAAATCTATCAGTTATTGAAGCTAACTCAAAGTCACCAAAAATTAAACATATCATTTTAAAAGTGTATACTTACACATTTAAAAATAGTTTTGAATTGTAGTATTTCCAAAACTAAGGAAACAGCAAAAAAAAAAAAAAAAATCTCATTTGAAGAATTAAAACACCATAGGGCTGGGGATTTAGCTCAGAGGCATAAGCGCCTGCCTTGCAAGCAGGCGGTCGTGAGTTCGATCCCTGGTACCGATAAAAAGAAAAAAGGTGTTAAAAAAAAAAAAGAATTAAAAGACTAAATTGCTGTTTTGACACATACACTTTCAAAAAATATCACTGGCAATGATTTGAATCTAAAAATACTGTATATAATCCAAAATTACACATGCTTCCAAAGACACATGAACATGAGACAATTTAAGAAGCAGTGTCTTTGACCCAAGAAGCCTTTCTTTGATTCCACTAAGTTAAAAGAAAAAAGCTTCAATAGGTATAAAAAGATAATTTTCTTCTTCCTAGCAACTGACTGTACTAGCCCTTTACTTTTCCTATCTTTTTTTTTAATATGGTTACAATAGGAACTAATGTATAATGTGAAGCTCTAATAATAAGACAGCATTAATATCACATATTTACATAGCTCATTACATGGTGCATTCTTTGTTTTCACATTAGGCATCATTGTTTTCCTTTTAAGGGTCATTAGGTGTTTTATTACTGTCATTCTTTTTCTAATCATTACCAATTACTCCTTTCCACCGATGAATGATACTCAGGAAATATCTAAGAGGAATCGTTATTTGGGATTACTTCACAACTACTTCTAATAGTTAAAAGTATATAAATTTATTAGATGACATATTATAAACATCTGATTTTATTTAAAAGCAATAGAATATCATAACAAGTAAACAGAGGCTACAGTAAACATTTTGTTTTTAATACATTTTAAAAGGTACTGGTTTGGAGATATAGCTCAGTGGCATAGTGCCTGCCTGGCAAGCATGAGGTTCGATTCCCAGTATCAAAAATAAAATAAAATAAAATAAAATAAAATAAAATAAAATAAAATAAAATAAAATAAAAGGTACGAAAAGGTGCATGTATTTAAGCTACATCGATCTCCTCAACTACCCCTCCCACTGTCATCATCCTAGGCAAATTAGGATGATCTTGTGCTTGGGAAACTGAAGTGGTTTCCAATCTGGTCTCTCTTGAGTTGTTTATGGCTTCTTTTCAATCCATTATCCACAAAACAGACAGTATATTCTTTGCAAAATGCAAACCAGATTGTGTCATTTCCCTGTTTAGAATATTTCAGGGGTTTTATACTGCACTTAGTATAAAGTCCCAAAGCATGCTTTAAAATCTAGTCTTCATGTATGTGTCCAATCTCATTTCTCTTTTATTTAATATTCCCCAAACTGCCTTTGCCTCTTCTAGCCCATCTCCCTCACCACCAGCCCTGCATACTGCTTCAGGATAGCTATACCTACTTTCTAATATGCTATCACACTTCTTTAATTCAGATGTAATCTTTTGTCTCTGTCCAAATATTTTCTCTGAGGAAATTCCCTGAGTTTCCTACAGTGGATGAAACAAGATCCCACACTTAATGCAGTTTATAATTATTTATTTTACTCAGTTTTGTTTTGACTAGATTGCAAGCCCCACAAGAGAAGAAAACACCTGTTTTGTTTCCATTAGCTCTCAAGTCCCTACATTATAGTATTAGGCAAAACAAAAAAAGTTTAACATTTTTAACATGAAGTATATAAAATGTAGACTAGAACAGTTTTTCTGATGCTCAGAATAAAGTTACTTGCAGTTCCTTGTACAACAGACTAGATTCACACACACACACACACACACACACACACACACACACACACAAAGAGTAGAAAATCTATGGCTAAAAACTAACCTCCTAACATATACAAATTAAGAATATTAGTCATCTATGCCTCCACCTAAACCAAAATTAGTATGATTATTTGACTGGTGTTTTGAAAATCATATTTGGCAAAAAAAATGATTAATTGGTATTTGAAAGATTTCAAATACTATACAAATGCAGTAGCAGTGCATTTTAAGTGTGTTATCAAATTATAATATCAAATTTACTTGGTCTAAGAGCTAGAATACAAACTACAATACACAGCACAATCTACTTATTTAATGATCTCTAAAGGCAAAAAACAAGCTTATATTCTTAACTTTGTCTCATTATGTATCATTGAATTGGTAATTTAAAATATTTAGCAAAATTAAAGATACTGGTACTTAAATTTTTTCTACACAAAGAAAATTTTCACTAGAGAGAGAAAACTCTTCAGCCAGGCATGGCCTGTAATCCCAGTTCTTGGGAGACTGAAGCAGGAGAACAGCTATGAGTTTGAGGCCAGCCTGGGTTACAAATTGAGTTCAAAGCCAGTCAGAACTATAAAGTGAAACCCTGTCTCAAAAATCCAAAAAACAAAAACAAAAAACACAAAGCATAAAAGAAAAAATAAACACCACTATCATGCAAAAAAAAAAAAAACCCTCTTCAACCTGATAAAGACACTCCACAAGAAAAACTACTCTTGACATATTTAATGATGAAAAATTTTAAATGTTTTTCTCTCTAAGAATGGAAAAATGTAAACGCTGTCTTCTCTCACCATTCTATACATTTTAAACTATAAGTCCCAGCCAAGAAAATATGAAAGAGAAAAAACAAAAGACATTCAAGAAAATAAAGATATGAATGTCTAAATAAGAAACACTAAAATGTCTGCTAAAGTATTCTGTAGAACTTAACAAACTCTGTCAAAATACAAAAAAATCATTTCATTTCTATATACTTATAACAAATAACAGGAAGTGAAATTATGAAACAATAAACAATTTACAATGGCCAAAAGGAAATAGGGGTAAATTTAATAAAAGATGTGTAAAATCTCTACTCTGAAAACTTTAAAATGCCATCAAGACACAGTAAATAAAAAGTCCTAGATAAGTGGGCAATAACTATCTTAATGAAATTGAAAACTCAACATTGTTAAGAATATCATTTTTCCCCAAACTTACCTATAGATTCATTACTACTCCAGTTAAAATTCAAGCTTTTTTGTTTGTTTGTTTGTTTCATTATTTGCAGAACAAACAAGCTAATGATTGTAAATCTGTGTGTTAGGGGTGAGATCCAAACTTTCGCCTAAAAGACACACTGAAGCCGTAACTGCTAGCAGATGGGCATCTGGAGAAGGGACTGGATCATGAGGGTGCTAACCTCATCCCTGGATTAATCTATGGATAAATTCATAGGTGACAGACTACTAAGAGATGAGGTCTAGATGAACAAAATGAGTCATGGGGCAGGCCCTTTGGGACTACACTGTGTCTTATTCCCAGAAAAGCACTCCTCCCCTTCTCCTCTCTATGCCTGCCTCCCTCTGGCTGCCATCTGAAGTAACCACTTCTGCTCTTTTTCTGCATGACCTTTTGACAAGATATACTGCCTCACCACAGGTCAAAACAATAGAATCAGAAGACCATGGACTGAAACCACTTAAACCATGAACCAAAATAAATTTTTTTTCACTTAAATTGTTTTCTCAGCTGTTTTGTCACAGGCACAGAAAGCTGACTAACACAACACACAGACATAAACAGTCTAGGACTGCTAAAACGACCTTAGGAAAGAAAACAAAAGACAAACTTGGGGAACTGGCACAACCTGATTTCCAGACTACAAAGCCCATGGCAGTCAGACTGGAATAAGCATAAACAAAAATATCAGGAAAAATAATAGAGGTTCCAAAACACAAAAACAAAAATCCACAAACTGAATTTCAATAAAAACTGTAAAACAATTCAAGGAGAAAGGAAAATTGTTTCAGCAAAAGGTACCAGAAATATCTAGATCCCTGTCTAGGGAAAAAAATTGACCTTTCTTATACTACACACCAAAATTTAGTTGAAAAGGATCATAGATCCAAATATATGAAACTACCAATACATAGCTTCTAAAAACAATTCTAGAAAAGTACATAAAAGTAAACAAAGAATTCTTTAGGATAATAAAAGTACTATAAAAAATTTAACAAATAATACTCAAAATAAAAGGAAGGAGGACTGCCATAAGTTCGAGGCCAGCTAGGGCTACATAGTGAGTTCAAGGCTGGTCTGAATTACATGGCGAGACCCTGTATCAAAAAAATATAAAGAGCAAGCTAAAATGGGGAGGTAGTATTATCAAAATATAGAAAATGACCTATATCCTAAATATATGAGTGCTATAATTAAAAATACAAAATAATACTACTCAGCAATAAAAAGGAATAAAACTGATAGCACAAACAATATGGATCAATTCAAAAACTAAAGAAAAGAAGCCATTCCTTAGGAAGTACACACAGCATGATTTCACATTACTTCTGAAACAGGAAAACTAATTTTTACTGAAATAAATCAGAAGAGTAGTTGCAGTATATGTACATACATGTACATATATGTATATATGCTCATATACACAGATTCAAAACCAATAGGCAAGAAGCATAGGAGCTTTCAGGAATGCAAGAAACATGCTGTCTCTTGATAGGTGTGGGTTACATGCAGATACATAGATCAAAATTAATAAAAATATAACATTTAATATTTGTACAAATTATAACAATGTTAAAACTATGGTTGCACTTGCATGTACAAAGTGCTGTGTGTCTGTGTAAAACTATAAAATGTGAGCTTCAAGTCACCTGAGTAAATTTTATGACAATACCAGGAAAGCATACATACTTATTTTGAAAAGAAACATACCAAAATCTACTAATACCATGTTTCATCAAGAATAAAATTTATTATACTGTCTAAACAAAACAAAGACTAATGTATCTAGTCTTTGTATACTTTCACAATCAACAAGTACACCTTACTCATGGTTCAGTGCTATACTCGGAGACAAAGCAGCCAGTGTGACATTGGGTGAGAAAAACTTTACTGTAGGGTAGCTTTATAACACTTTCAGACTGCCATGGTTAGCTGAGATTTAACACAACTGACCAAGTAAGACAAAGTTTGAAAGGTTCCATCAAGTTCAATCAATTACAAAGGAAAATGGAGAAATAGAATGCTAGTTTGCATGTACATTTTATTTTTTCTTAATGGAGGAACCCACAAATTAAAAAATATTTAACTGATAGCACATGCCTGTAATCCCAGCACTGGTGAGATAAAGGCAAGTGTACAAAGCCAGCCAGGGCTGCACAGTGAGTTGCAGATCAGCCTGAGCTACACAGTGGTATGCCATCTCAATGAAAAAAAATTAAATCAACTGACCAAAACAGTATGCAGAGCACTAAAATAAAACCATGTACGATATGATCTTTCCACATTTTTCTCATACATATTACATTTAATATTTAGTTAGGTTTGAAAATGAGAAACTATAACTTAGACTTAAGAGTAGAACTTTGGAATTGGGACAGATTTGGGTTGGCACAATGACAGCACCACTCTATCTATGAAGCGTTGGTTATGTCATTTTTCCAAGCATTTCAGCTTCTATCTGCAAAATGGAGATGACTCCTACCTTTAAAAGGTAGTTATGAAAATTCGATTCTAAAAATGAAGTACATAGCAATTGTTCACTCAAAGCTCAGGAAATTAGTAAGAATACTTTCTTTATTCTATTGAATACCACCTCCATCAACATTCCCTTAAAAATATACGTCCTTAAAAGAAATATCACTGTCTGAACCTAACTATTCATGTTACAAAACTCTAGTGTTTGACAATATAACAATGAAAATTACCAAGCCTTAGTCCATAAAATCCATAGTTACATGGCTCCTACATTTTCCAAGTAATGGAGGAACTTTTTCAATTAATATTTATATTTTAATTTCCATAAGATGTATAATTTATCTACTCAGCCTCCTCAAACTAAGAATTCTGAACACAAAGATTGCTAATAGGCTGACATCATAATTGTTAATATCAATTAGAACACTGCCTTTTAATAGACTGATAACTTTTGGAGCTGCTGGATATCTCTGTATGTATATACAGAGATATACATAGAAATACAGAGATAAAGGGAGACAAAGATGCAGACGCAGATGCAGATACAAATAGATACAGATAGATATATGGGGGAGGGAAAGTGGAAGAGGGAGATTGATTTAATCTTTCAAGTACAATAACTACGTACCTAAACGTATCTACATATATAGAGAAATCTCTGTACTTCTGACTTTATTTGCATAGCACACATGGTAGTATCTTTTCTTTCCTATCCTAAATCACTATTTTAATTTTTTAAAGGTTCTAATATCAAAAGCTAAGATTACTAGAATTTTTTTTCCTCAAATGAAAATACTGCTCTGAGTAAGTACTAATAAGCCTAGATTTAGGTTACCAATTATTCTAAATAAGTAAGGTCATAACTATTTCAGTTTGGCACAAAAATATTTGAAATGCAGTTTAAAAAATAATATAAGTGGTTGCACATGCCTGTAATCCCAGCACTCAGGAAGACTGCTGCAAACTGGAGACCAGCCTGGGATATATAGTAAGGCCAGCCTCAACTACAGAGCAAGACCCTGTATCAGGGAGGGAGGGAGGGAGGGAGGGAGGGAAGGAGGGAGGAAGGAAAGAAGGAAGGAAGGAAGGAAGGAAGGAAGGAAGGAAGGAAGGAAGGAAGGAAGGAAAAGAAAAAAGACAGAAAAATTCCAAGCTTTCTCATATCTCCCATATAACAGCCTTTCTTTCATTAGGAAATAATCTGAAAATTCAATTATGTAATAAGATGTTTATAACAATGAAATTCCATCAATAGTTAATGTATCATAGAAAGGGTTCAAAATAGCCATTTCTCATCAAATTTTACACAGTAAAAAGATAAAGGAAAAAGTTTAACTATGCAATATTTCCTGCAAAAGCTTGTTAAAACTGTATGAAAAAAGAAGAGCACAATCACATTTTAAATAATACATTTGCATTAAAGGAAAAAATATTAATTCAAATTCATTTTTAATTTTAAGGAATTTTTCTCATATAAATGGAAATTGCTATTTTTTAAGATATCTTATTGTTATGGCAACTGAAGTGCTAAAAATAATAAAGAAATATCAAAGTTGTTATAGCAACTAGGATTTTAAAAAACCATGAAGTGTAGAATAATCAAACCTTAACTTGGCTTGAAAAGCAACATCCATGACTCAGTTTTCAAAAGAAAACTGGAAATACTCATGTTCTTGTCTTTATGAGTTATTTCTGAAGTTCAATTAAAAAAAAAAAAACTTCAGCATAAGAATTGGAGTATCTCTTTTATATCACTTATATTCCCATCAAACAATACATATTTGCTGGGGATTTAGCTCAGCGGCATAAGCGCCTGCTTGGCAAGTGCAAGGTCATGAGTTCAATCCCTGGTACCAAGAAAAAAAAAACATATTTGATAATGTGGCTTTGATATCTCTACATGCTACAGAACTCCATAAGAATAAAAATTTTTCTTGCTTTTTAAAAAATTAGTCTATCTTTGTTGTATCATTGCTACAGTCATTTTGGGGAACTGATACATGTATGTGGCATGTCGTGATCATTTCTGGTCCCTTAATCCTTACCATTCCCCATCCCTCCTCCCTGATCCCTTTTCCCAACTGCAACAAGTTTCTCTTTTTTGTAAATGTTGAATTTAACCCAACTGTTCAGTTTGTGAGAAGTCTGGATTTTATAGTCTTCTAAATGGCTTTTGAATTCTCATCTTCATACTCTGCTCTAGAATATCATAAAAGTGAAAAAGATGTACTGCCTAAGTGCTATGCCAGCTTAATCTCTTTAGTATCTACAAGATATTTATCGAAGGCCTATCACATGGTAGGTAATGCTCAAGATTCTAGGACACTGTTCTCATAGAGGAAAAATTTCATGAAGGTTCTATATATAGTACTAAGGCCTTTGAAGGATTTAAACTAGGAAGTAATATTTTTTTTCCTAGAGATGGTCATATTGGCAAATTAAACACTTATATTTATATGCTTTGCATTAGAAAACCAAGAAAAGTCTTTAGTTTCTTAAGTTCCTTGGTCATACTAATGACCAAGAGTCAAAGGCAGTGAGTGATATTATATGCTGTTAACACAGCGTATTTCTCTAGTATTCATGCACTAGACAGAACTGGCCAGCAACAGACACATATATCTATTGATGATATAGATACATAGATATCTCTATATGCTTCTGCTTTATTTACACTTTTTTCTCCTTTTCAGTTTCCTAAAACTACTGGTTTAATTGTGAGTTAGTAAAGAAGAATTGAGCAGGTTTTGGTAGGGAAAATGCCATGGTTTTCTTCAGACCTACAGGGACAGTTAAGCTCTTGCTGACTAGTAACAGCAACTGTGGAATCCTGCAACTGTAGAAAGAGAACGTCTTCAAAAGGACAAATTCCTTCCCTTTGACTATCTTACCCAGTAAAGAGTATGGCCTGTCTTGGCCATATTATTTAAATGCTGAGACCAATACAATTTCCTTCCATTCATTAAATAACTACTGTGATTCAAATGAATGATTTGTAAAACCTCGCTGTATTCTTAACTCAAACTTATTAGTATTAGCCAACAAAATATTTTTCTTTATTTTTCCAAAAAATTACAATTCCAGGCTGGGGATTTAGCTCAGTGGCATAAGCACCTGCCTTGCAAGCGCATGGTCGTGAGTTCAATCCCTGATGCCAGTAAAAAAAAAAAAAATTACAATTCCAAAGCACCAGAAAAAGAACTTAGTATAATTTTTATAATTGTATTAAGTGACTAGCTTCTACCTACAAGTAAGTGAATGTTCAATAATTTGATTAACTAGAGTAATTTAGATTCATGTAATGTATACATGATTTTACAATAATCACTTCTGCCTCATATATACATTGCCTACATATATGCATACAGTATACATTTTATAATAATTCTCAAACTAGAGTCCAAGAAATCTTTGAAACTGTCACCATTATATGGCCAGGAATGCTCTTGAATTTTTTTCAATTTTCAATTTTTATTTCTCCAACAATTTAAAAGCTTTACTTGAAGTAGATTCGGATAATCTGGCTGCTATCTCATAACAAAGTATTGTTATGCAACATTGATGCCAACATTTGTTGAAGCATTTACCATCATATTAGAGCCAAGCAGTTCTTAATTTGTTGCAGGCTAAGAAAACACAACATAAGGAGATTAAATATGTAAATGATGTTCAAAATGAAGGTCATATGATCTATCACCACACCATACAACAAGTATTTCCAGTGAGTTGGAAAAAAACGGAACCATCTGAAGACACATGGCCTCAAAAGCATGCCAAGCTTAGAAAAAGAAAAAGAATATATATATATATATATATATATATATATATATATATATATAAAAATCACACATACTACACAATAGTTGTCAGTATCATGTTCACAAGGTCAGTAGTAATTTAGTTTCAGGAAGATAACCTTGATCATAACATTAAATTACTCTAGTAAATAAGTATTTTTATAATTTTTATAGTTTACATCTACTAGATTTATTATTACTGTGAAAGTTAAAAGTATAGGTAGTTTATATTTAATTTCTGTGCTCATATATTTAAGTAGTATTAAAAACAAAGTAGTCAACATTGGTAGGAGTATCTTTGACAATCTCTGTCCCACACCACAAAATGCTTTAGAATATTATTCAAAGTTGAAAACCTCAACACATATACAGTAGTTGATGTTCAGAAAATGTCTCTTTATAATGATGGTCAAGTTCTCTGGTAGTGCAATCCATAGGGAAGGCAATACTAAACACTATGTAACCAAGCTAATAAAGAATTAACCTAATTTTTGAGTCTATAGGGTCTATGAATCTTAAATAAAATGTCCAATTACAAATTATTTTAACAGACACAATTTTATAAGATAATATAGTTAATAATCCCCAAATGCTCCTTTTCATATACACTTCTATTACATCAAGGGTTAAAAGTGTCTTGATTGTTACCTATCCCCCACCTCTACAAACCCCCCTTTATACTTCTCATATCGCTCCATACAAACAATGCACTGTCAGCTTCTATACCAAGACAGTGGTCTCAATTATCTTTGTATCACTAATGAATCATAAATATTCAGTAGCATGTTTGTTGGACAGACACAACACAGACCAGCACTTTCTCCCAAAGATATCTTAAAAAGCAGATTCTATTGATAGTACAAATATATGGCTTAATGAAAATCATATTAAATATATGATGGAAGATGAAATGTCAACAGAAAAGAATAACATGAAACTTCCCGTCATTTTCTCATTGCTAGGACACAATACTCAACATCCACAAATTGGAGGAGAGATTTATTTTGGCTCAGTTACAGTCCCTGGTTGGCCAGTTTCAAGGCAGAAGACGCATAATGTAAGGGCCTGGGCAGAGAAAAGCTGCTCATGCCATGCTAGTCAGGAAGCTTAGAGGATATGAGGACGGGCTGGGTTTAGAGATACACACTTCCAGGTCATGCTCCCAGTGATTTGCCTCTTCCAACCAGCTCCCACATCCTAACAGCAAGTCAGCTATAGCACCTCCCATGATTTAATCACCTTCCAAATACATAAGGCTTTTGGGGGACACCCAAGATGTAAACCACAACACCTCTGATACATAGTCCCGGGATATATTAACCAGAAGATCACTAAGAGTCTGTTTTCAGGGGCCTAAAGAAATCTACTAGGTAATATGGTTCACCAACCAATATATGATAGAGCATATTTGATCATCTTCAAATGAAGACTGCTGAAAAATTGGAGAGCTATAATTTTGTCAAAGACAAAATTACAATAAATTCAGTTAGTTTTTAATTGTGACTCCAGATCAGGTAATTTCTCTATATACAAAATAGAATGAGTATACTGAAGGGCAGAGCAGAGGAGATTGGCAAAAATGAGATTGATTATTAAGTTACCTTCCTTGTAAATGTTATGGTGGAAGAGACTTCCTTAATAAAACATTTAAAATTTGTCTGTTTGGGAATTTTGCTATTAACTCTTTTTCTCCAGATTTCTCGAAAAGGGGGGAAAAAAAGGAAAAAACAAACCAAAACAAAAAAGTTTCAGTCTCATAGGCTTAGAGGTTTAGCATGAGTGAGTCCATCTTGGTTTGGTCTTTTGGGCTTCATGCAGGAGCTTCCTATAAATTTTATTTTAATCATTCCATGGTTTTGGAACCACTCAAAAGGGAAGGCACTACAAATATTTCATATATGATAAAAGAAGAAAAGAAGCAGAAGTGTATCAGTGTCACTGATACACATTTATGGTTATTCTTCATAAGTAGCTCATAAAAAAAAGTATGAGTATTTTTCCAATTGTAAATGTTAATTATGTTACTTACTATTAATGCTTTGAGTTTTAAATACTCAGTTGATTCCACCATCTTATTATCAGTACATTATCCTATAAGAATCTATTTTTAATCTAAGATATTTATCCTTGAATAAAATCCTATTTTTTCAAAAAGCTTTGATATTTAAGAAACTACTGCTATAAACCATCTTCTATTTTATAATGCTTCTGT